ATTAGATTTATACGATTGACATAAAGAATAGTGCAATCTGAATTATTCCATGCATAACTTTCTGGTACAGGTTCATGACTCCAATGCGCATTTTCTAATAAATGTAAATTTCGATGCATAAATAAATATTTCGAAAGATTTATTTTGACGTAAGATTTACTTCTAGTAAATCTTCTAAGTATTTTCCCATTAAGATTTGTTTCTCTTTAGAAAATTATTTCTTCATCTGTCCAAGACAAAAACATGAGTCTTATGTATCGAATATATCCACACACAGTAGTTGTCTTACAATCTTTGGAAGAACAAATGCAATCTCTTCCATGAAGTTCAGTAGATAGTGCTTTGAATGGGCTGTCCTGAGTTTGCTGATGAACTTCTTCACCACATTCAACGAACCTGTTGGCATGGAGCATTAAAATATCTATATTCCATATCAATACAAGTTAATGATGCAGACTCAAACTGTACTGAATGATAGCATTATTATACTCGTTAAGAATTTATCTGAGATAAGTTCAGAGCTGAATTTTGACAGTTTCTTGAATCACTTCACCGTTTCAAGAGCCGTACGAATCGGTATAAGTACTGGAACAGGTGTCGTTTGATGTTATTTAGTCAGTTGTCACAGCGTGAACATAGGGGTAGTGGTGACTACCAGAGCAAAAATATGTTATATCATTCCATTGTGAAGTAACTGGAACACTGTTGCATCTTAATACTGCACCGTCTTGATGTAACTGGAACATTGTCCCATCTTCATGCAACTGAAACGTTGCACCTTCATGTAACTGAAATGTTGCGTCTTCATGTAACTAAAGCACTGTTCCATCTTCATGTAACTGAAACATTCTTCCTTTTTGATGTAACTGAAGATATTGGTTGCATTCAATTTTCAGTGTTGTGTTTCAGTGTTCCACATAGCAATTATAAATTGGTGATAAGTAGAAATTTATTCCACAGTGATATTTGATTCTGGCTTCAAATTGGATTACTTCTGTGCAGTCGTAACCTGACATCAGCAGTAGTTGGATGTACACCTTTGATAAGTTCAATGATCTGGTTCCTGCATCACTTTCTTCAACGTTGATCAGCGACAGTGTTTTCTTGATCTGCTACATGTTAGGTTCATCTACCAATGAGTGGATAAGTTCATCCACTGCATAGATTTTCTATAGTTCCTACATAGTTCACATATGTTCGTGTATAATTATTAATAACTTTCTGAATTCTATTTACAGATCCTGCAGCTAGAGTGCATTGTTTATTATTCTTATAATATTTGTCACTCTTTCCGATGATTAATATTGTTTCATTCTAAGTCCTTTAATTTTTAATATAATAGTGACAAAATGATAAATCCATGCACTCTGACTTTGGGATCAAAATACTTACACTATATGTATTGTTAAAGACTTATCGTAGAATTATTTAGTTTTATTTAATTTTTAAGTAAAATTGTATAAGTATGAGTTATGTGTAATTGAATGTAAAATAACCACGGTTATTCGTTATGCGTAATATTGCGAATTGTGTGATATTGTAATAGCGAAAAGTTTATTTGTATCAAAGAGCGAAGTAAGAGCGAACGAGATAGCATTAGTAAACTTCTTAGAAACGATGCCTAGCTGGCGATCTCCTTGCGTGCACAGGGGTGCTTCGGCAAACCTGGGGCCGTTCAGGCCAACGGCTAGGGGACTACTGTATGTATCGCCCTGAGGCTTGTATAACCCACAGTAGAAGATGCCGAAAATCTCCGGTAATAAGGGACAGTGGACGGAGAACCACAAGGCCCGAGCGCGTCGCGAACATTGCTCGAGCGAGGCCCGAATATTCATTATAAAATTGTCGATTGAAGAAGCAAGACGTATCTGACTCGCTCTTACAAGAGATATTATATTCGTGAATTAATTAATTATTTTTACTAACGTGGTTTTGTTCGTCAATTACTGGTAATATTTTTGCGTTCTATAAATCCTGTAACTTTCATCTGTAACTTTCTTCCATAAATTCACACAATTTGTATTCAAATTATTTATATAAAACTTGTTAACTAATCCCGATTTTGTTTTGTTTTGTTCAATGTTAGTTTATCAATTAACATGTATAAAAGTAAAATTTTTAAAACTTCACGTGGACCTTATACTGATCAGAAAATTTACCTTCTTGAAATTGCTTTAGGGTGTACACATAACTTTTAAAACTTCGAGTTCTTGAACATAATGTGTACATCTAGATAATTGAAATATAGAAAAGGCAATAATTCTTCCAAACATACCCTCCATTTTTAATGGAGTGTATTAGATTCTTTTGCAGAGACTGGTATCATAAAAATAGTCTACATCAATTCAATATATCGGTCCTAGTTACTGTTTTTATCTAAATATACCTTTCAGTATTCTCTACTAGACAGTGTGAACGTTTCATGAATCCATTAGATTGATACACTATGATTCCTTTGGTAACAATGCTGGTTACATACTTATAAGTACATCCTATATATTCGTCTATATCAGCGGCAAGAACTACCCCTACTCCAGGTACAAGCCGAGATCCTTGTTGCAAGGGTTAATACTTAGTATATGAGTATTTGGCCTACTTAAGGATACAACAACATCGGAGACTATGTATTGGTTAAAAGGAACCCAGTATCCAACGCAGCCAATCGTGAAATAGCGAAATTTTGCCATGCGTGTGAAGGTCTATAGGCAGTAATAAAGAAAAGGACCATCTACATTCCAATTGTATGATTGCCAATCCGGTGCAATTCGCAGAACATTCCATGCTTCTAGTTTACGGCCATATCTACGGGCAGAAGGAACGGCGAATGTGATAAAGCGAGGTTAAGAATTCAGTGAAAACCCCTCCCAAAGAAAAGCTAATATATATAAACAGTAGTGCCCGATAAGCGAAATCAGATTATTTGGAACGTTTCAATAATACGGACGAGCGCTTCATAACAAAGTATTGGTTCAAAGTCTTCAGTTACAACAGCCAGAAGTATACAGTAACGAATGGAGAAGAAGAATGGAAAGAAAAGAAGAGGCAAATGTAGAAGTAAAAAATAGGTATGCAGTGTTAGAAGCGAAAGAAAATGGAGTAGAAGTGGTCAAGGGTGAGGACAGGAAGGAAAATAGTGGTACATATAACGTTTCATGTCTGCTGGTCCTTTCCTCTACAAGAATGGAACGACTTCTTTAAAGAATTGAAAAATCATGGAAAATATTATAGTATTATATGCATCGTGGAATATTCCATTGACTGGAATATTGAAGAATCGACCGTTAAACAAATGAATTTCGGGCAACGACGTCGCCGCCCGGACGACGGCGATATGTATTACAGAATAAATATCCTTATGTTCAAGTGAAATAGTTATCTTACGTTCTTTACACTCGAACCTTTTTTTTTTTTTTTGTTTTAGGAAGACAGAAATTCTATTACGGACACCTGGGAAGATAGCCCAGGTAGTGTAGAAAGACTCACGCTTCCAGTTGTTGTTTGAGTAAGATAGAAATCGTATTACGGATAGCCCAGGTGGTGTGGAAAAACTCACGCTTCCGGCGCCCCTACGGAGGGTGGCGGCAACCCGTCAGGCTTCCCTACCGGTTAGGCATAGTCCACCTGCGCTAGGCCATCGCTCCCTGTTGTGGAAGAAAGACGGGGGTGTCCCACTTGGACGCCGACCGATTGGACGCGTCCCGATTGGACGCGTTCCGATTCGAGCGGTGCCGATTGGACGCGTCCCAATTCGTAGCTGTTAAATTTGGTTAGCTTATGTTCTATAAGCTCTGCTTAGAATTGGTACGCGTCCAATCGGCACCGCTTCGAATTGGAACGCGTCGAATCGGGACCGTCGAATCGGGACGCGTCCAATC